ATTACAAGTTAGATGTCATAGAAAGGCATGAACATTTTATCTGGATAGCAAAAAAAATGAATCTGATGTTTAACTTATTGTCAAAATTACAAACTTATAGTTGCACTTTAATTGTACATTTGTTTACTTAGAAGGCATATTTTGCATTGGAAAAAGAGAAGATTCTTATATCTATGACTGTTTCATGTTTGATGTACCCATCTGTCTGTCCTCAGTCTGTCTCACCATCAAAGATCATAAGAACATTAGAGGCAGAGAGAGGTGTGTTCTCAATTTGGGGAGCTAGTGTAGTGATCTGAACATAAGACCTCAGTAAACGTCGATTCTTAGGAATTTTCTTTAAAAAGACTTAGCTCATTTTGTGCTGCCAAACAGAGTATAGTAGTTTCCAAGGCTTTACTTTCTGTAGTTTCCATTATCTGCCATCAACTGTGGTCTGAGAATATTAAATGGAAAATTCCAGAAACAAACAACCCATAAGCTTTAAATTGTGCACCTTCTTGAGTGGGGTGATGAAATTTTGCAGCATCCCACCTGGAGTGTGAATTAGCCCTTTGTCCAGTGTATCCACACTGTGTATGCCACCTGCCCTTTAATAATTTATTTGGCCTTACTTACAGAATCCACGGCCACAGCATCATGGTGCTTGTCTCCATCATGTAAACTTTATATAGTAATCACCCCAAGGCACAAAAGTATACATAGGAAACAGTGCAGTAGTATGCACACTTTTATATATGCTATCTGTGATTTCACACATGCTCTGGGGATCTTGGATAAGGGCAACCAAGTGTTGGGCTTACTAATTCATAAGGAGAAGAAGAAATTTGTGATCTCATGGTTCTAAAGAACCTGTTGAGCACTGATGAGGCACTGTGGGGCAGCATGGGGCATGTGCTGGTGGGAGGGAGGAGAAGGAGGGAGAGAGAGGGGAGCAAAGGAGAGGCTGAACTCGCTTTTCATAATGAATTCGCATCTACCACGTAATTAACTGACTTAGATGATGATAATGTTAATTCCTCCAGGCAGTGTCTTCATGGCCCAGTCACGTCTGATTTTTACCTCCCAACATACGACACTGGTGAATTACCAACATGAGCTTTGGGGAGGAAGAGGGGACTCAAGCCATTAACACCAAACTCAGGGATTTCTTCTTCTTCCTTGGCAGGAGTTGACTCTCCTTTCCCTTAGGTTTCCCCTGTTGGCTGCACTGTCAGCCCCAGGGACAGAAACCCTGTCAACTTTGTACCTCAGAGCACATGAGCCATCTCTGCTCTAATTGTTCGTTAGAATAACTTGTTGAGTTTGCGTGATTACAAAGTCTAGGGTAAATTTTATCATTCCAGTTTTTGCTCAGAAACTACAAATAGGTTGAAATAAAAATTAAAGATGTGCCCTCTAAATCTCTAGTTCTGAAAACATTTGGTTAAACTTCACAAGCCTTCTTGAGTATTTATTCTTCACCGTTGGAACAAGAATATAGGTGTATGTTCAGTCCCATGTCAGGATAGAGACTCTGCTTTGTTCACAGACTGGTGCTTTTAGAGCCTGCATTGCCTTTGAGACTGTAAACCTCTGGCCTCCTGGCTCTACCACCATGCCTTTAATTTATGGGTGACACTAACATTTCTCTTCCAGCCTTGGATATGGCTCCAGATCAGGTAGCTACAGGGGCCGTAGTTGTCACTGGAATGACAGACTGTGGTGGTGACATGTCAGTAAGGATTGTGTAATGCTAGAGAAGGCAGAAAACTCAGGTTTATGAGCCGTTGCTAACAGGAAAATGAGTTTTTAAAACCTGGAGTATGAAATGGCTTGTTTCTCAAAATATAAACAATCCTTGTGTAGAATTAACACTTTCCATGTGTAAAGGGGTGTGATGTTGTATCCATTTGGAATGCCCAATGAAGTTATTTTGACTCTGAACCATTGGAATGCAGTGATGTTTTGCTTTAGAGAAAGATGCATCAAGGAAAGAATGTAATTTTATACCAAATGCATTGGGCTCGGAGCCCCATGGTTCCATTGAAATTTTAAGACAACCATTTGATCTTAGAGTTTTTGTATTGCTGTTTTTATTTTGAGATCACTATAGAGTCACGTGTTGTTTTAGGAACTGATACAGACTTGTACATTACCCTCTTCCTTCCGATGTTAGCATCTCATACCGACCACAGCAGAGTGTGGCAGCCAGAAACCTGTCACTGACACAACCTGCTATGATTTGAATGTATTCCTCAAATTTCATGCTTTGTGAGCTTAGTTCCAGGGGCATGTGGGTAGCATGAGGGAAGTGAGGACTTTAATAGGAGGTTAGTCCAGTAGAGTTCATCCCTCATGAGTAAGTTAATGTCCCTTTTGCAGGAGTGAGCTTGTTATGAGCAAGCAACCTGTCACCTCTTGCTCACTTGCTCTCCTTTTCTTTTCTGTTTCCTACCATGGGATGACATAGTACAGACGTACTCCCAAGGAGCCTCACCTTCATGTTGGGGCTCAAGTAAGCTTGTTTATTGATTATCCAGTCTGTGGCATTCTGCTATAGCAATGTGAGGAGAGAGTCCCCATACTTAGATTCACCAGTGTTCTGTTCACTTTTATGTGTTTCCATGTTTAGTTTTACATGTACAACTTAGCATTCTTTAAGTTAAATGTATTCATTCATTTTATATTCTGACTACAGTTTCCCCTCCCTCCTCTCCTCCTTTCCCTTCCCCTGCCCTTCCCCAATCCAGTTCACTCCTCCTTTATTTCTGTTCTGAAAGGGGCAGGCCTCACCTGGGTATCAACAAAGCAGCATGGCATATCAAATTGAGGTAGGACTAAGCTCCTTCCCTCATATTAAGGATGGGTGAGGCAACCCAGTGTGGGGAATAGATTCCCAAAAGCCAGCCAAAGCATCAGGGATAGGCCTTGCTTGCCCTGTGGGGAGTTCTACAAGTAGACCAAGATACCCAACCATCACACATATGTAGAGGGCCTAGGTTGGTCCCATGGAGGGCTCCTTAGCTCTCAGTCCAGAGTCTGGGAGGTCCAAGAGCCCAGGTTATTTGTTTCTGAGGGTTCCCTTGTTATGACATTGACCCCCCCCACTCCTGTTTTATTAAACACAAAGGAAAATAAGGGTCAGTTAAATCACACAAAATGCCTTCAGTGTAGACATGGGCATCAAATATTGATCTATCTTGGGTTTTTTTTTTTTTAGTAACAATAATAATTAGTAGCCAGATTTCACTGAGTTGCATATAAAATGTTGTTTCCTTAGCATATACCTAGGGTGCATTGACTTATATGATCTTCCTAGGAATTATACCATGTAAGTTAGATCAAAATTCCTTTACTAAACTTAATTAAACCTGGTAACTTTTCCAAGAAACAGGTAATTTTTTTTATAATTTGAAATTGTTAGAAAAAATTTCCCGCTTTTTACTTAATTTTACATTTTAAGTCGTTGACATACCATGGGAGTTAGGAAGGGAGGGAGGGTAAGTGAGTACTGTATTGTAGGTGGAGTTAAGTTGAGATATTTTGAAGTCTTTCTTCTATTGTAAAGAAGAGCTGGTTTAGGCAGAGTGCCAGATTTTAAAGAGAATTAATGGAAAATATCATGAATACTTACAAATACAAGTGGATTTTCTCATAGTCTAATTTAGGGTTATTCTTATGACTACTTTTTGGCTAAATACAGCCCCAGGGATGTTTGGATTCAATCAGATACCCACAGTTACATACCTGGTTTTACAGTGGTGTCTCAGGCATTTGCCTGTAAATTAGCACTGATATGTGTTAGAAAGATAATAGATAAACTAATTGAGAGTCCATAATTTGCTGTTCTTTGCTTGTTAAATGTCTTGTAAAGCTGTCCCTATGATAAACAGCAGCCCTTACTCAGACCAGGGATAGCAGCCCTGTGTGTTGCTCCTCAGGCGATCTTGGTGTTTTTGTAGAAGCAGAAAGAAATAAAAGGAATTTTGTCCTTTTTACCTCATGTAATCCCGCTAGAGAATGCACCATGTGCTGGGATCTGATCCTGATTTCTGCCAGGTCACCTCCCTCAGGAGTCATGGTCTAACCCTGCTGCAACAGTTCTTGGACTGGAGTCTGGCTGCTTTCGATTGTGATGGATGGCTCCTGTGGTGGGCTCCTGTGGAGAACACTGCCCTTCTGTCTGCCTTAGCATCTCTGCCAGGGGTGCCACAGCAACCTGCATCTGCCACCCTAGGGGAAGCAAATAAGCTTCATACACTGCAGATGTAAACTACATTCTTCAGTCCCTTTGGAAAAAGCCATCGTCCACCGTGGTAGAATAGCCTGTGAATCACCATGTGGGGTTGATTTTTGTCCTGCTTGGCAGAACTATATTTGCATATTAGATAAAGCAAATAGATAATGCAAATCTTCTGAAGCTTTGTGTTATTAGAAATTCTTTGCAAACTACAAAGCCTCTTTTGAGATCACTATATCCATTTTCTCTTAAGGAAGTTTTTCCCTCCTCATGACTCATTCCACTCCATGGCTAATAAGAGGGGAATGCAGTAACGGTTAAGGAAAGGAATGCATGCATGCCCTCTCTTTCTTCCTTCCCTTTCTTCCTTCCCTTTCTTCCTTCCCTTTCTTCCTTCCCTTTCTTCCTTCCCTTTCTTTCTTTCTTTCTTTCTTTCTTTCTTTCTTTCTTTCTTTCTTTCTCTCTCTCTCTCTCTCTCTCTCTCTCTTTCTTTCTTTCTCTCTTTCTTTAATTTCTTGGGTTATGTAAGCATGCATGACTGTAAAATGTTGACAACTGTGAAAGGTTAAAAAAAAAGCTATCCTGTTAATATATACTTCTTTGGAATTTAAAAATCAAAACACTTCCTCTGCTTCTTGAGAGAACTGTTTTGCTTGATGGCCCAGAATACAAATCCAGTAAAAATGACATGTTCCAGCAGTCACTTACACATACACCTTCAGTAAAATTAATGAGATCACCCTAAGATTACACTTTGTGTTTTATTTTCATTTTATAGGTCTGTATGAGCTATTGGCTGCTCTGCCTGCCCAGCTGCGGCCACATGTGGATAGCCAGGAGGACCTGACCTTCCTCTGGGACATGTTTGGTGAAAAGAGCCTGCATTCACTGGTCAAGGTAAACCGCACTGATGTCAAGTTCTCTTTGTGAAAAGCATATGGAAAAATATTTTGAGCGCCATCTAGTAAACCAGAGACGAAATTGTTCCTGTCTGAAAACAAAACAGCCTTGTTCTATTTCACGGCTGGGCGTGGAGGTTGTTAAAGATCTTACCAAAAATACATAGATGACTTCAGTGAAGGGGACGGCGCGGCTACGCATGCTAATGCAGTGGCATGTGGCTGCCCTTGTTTAGTCAAAGGACAAAATAGTGGCAGGAAGGTTGAGACTCCGTTATGGTTGACATTCGTGAGCTGAAATTTCACTTAGATAAACAAATGTTCACAGCAGAAATTAGAAGGAATATGTGTTCTGAGGTCAGAAACGGCAGCTGTCCAGAAGCCACATTAATTTAAAATAATTTCCTTTAACAAAGTCAACTGAAATTCTAGTAAGCTGATCCTTTTATTGGCCTGACTCCATTGAAATGGTATTTTGTAGATAAATACAGTGGAGCTAAATACGAATAAAAACAGTTTTTGGAGACCGTTTTAGGGAAAGCATCCCACCACGAGAACTGTCAGCCACCGGGAACCAGATCCTGTCTTACTGAAATGAAACACTGGGAGTGACCAGCACTCTGAAAATAGTAAAATGAGAACAAGAAACTCACTGGAAAACACGCCACTCGGCTTCTGGAAATACAAACTGCATTTTTTCTCATTTAACTCAAGCTGAAAGAAATGCTGAGTCTTTCTTGTGTCTGTAGGAGGTTGAAGCCCATTCTCTGTGAAATCTGGACCTATGCTTCACTCAGCTAACTTTGTTATGGTTGTCTGTCATGAAGGGAAGCTTTTAACTGATATATAGTATTTGAAAATCGGTCACTTTTGAATTGCCACTGTTTACAGAACAGAAATGGTCTATGTGTTTCTTTTCCCGAAATTTGTCTGTTTTGAGTAGCAACAATGCTAAGGAAGATGAAGTCAGTATGTGGTTCTCCCTGGGCAGTACATTTTATGGCCTAGAGATTATTCACTCATTTATTTTTCATAATAATGCAATTGCCAAGGGATTGTTGGGCTCTAATTCATTTTAAGCAGCTTAGTTAATTCCTTGGGGTGAATGAGAAATGGTTTTAGGATTACAATTGAGGAGTTCCTGCCTTGTATAGTAATAATAAGAAATGCTTCTGTGTTGAATGTAGGGACCCGAGAGTAGCTACGGATGTATGCACACTGATTTTTAGCATTTGCTGAAAGGAATAACACGTACTTGAATTGCCACCACCCCTGAGTCACTAAGTGAACATTTCCCCAAAGAATAGATGCATGTTTATTTGAATTTATTTATAACATAGCTATAATTTCTTACCTAAAGCGGAAGTGAGAATATGTGTCAGCAAGTTGACAGTTTCTATAAAACTCTTGCTGTCTCAGTACTTGGAATAGCTAGATATGTAAGTCAGGCAGGTTTATTAAGTATTGAGGGAAAGGTTATCAGAGCATATAAAATGTCAAAAAACTCCAGAGGTATTAGTTACCGGAGTTACAAGGATGCAATTAATGTATAAAACAAATCCCTACTCACACTGGACAGTGAGCCTTAAGCATAGACTTTTCCCCAAAGTGTCAGTAGCAAGTGGGTAGGAAGCATCCAAGAGGGTGCTCGGGTTGGATTCCCTAAAAACAATGAAGTCAATGGATGGATGCTGTCAGCATTTAGATAGTGCAGTTGACATTACTGTTCCAAATGTTTTCAGTGATTGCTATAAAATGCATTTTTAAAAAATGAGTCTTATTTGATGCTACTCTCATAGTATTCATGATTCCTCTGTCCTCTCCTCTCTGCCTCCAGCTCTCATCAGAAGCAGACCTTAAGTGTGTCCTCTGCCTGACCCGTTCTATTAGTTTTAAATATGTAAAGTCTAAAGAGCCTCCAGGAGGCAAGCTCCTGGGATCTTAGCTTAAAACAGCTGGAACAACCCACTTAACTGGATTCCAAATGCCTCTAGTTAAGGCCGGAGGACAGAAGCCTTTAGCTTTTCTACATAAATCTTGCTAGAGCCAAAGGAATTTGTTTGAAAAGATTTGTTATAGAGTGAACCAAAATGTGCTTTGGTTTTATGCTCTTGCCTGAAGTTAAAGCTGTTAGTGTGTGATTTAGAACTGGAGAATGCAGAATTTGATTTTCATCCTAGCACAGAGTTTTCATGGTCCTTGCATGTGAGTGTGTGTGTGTGTGTGTGTGTGTGTGTGTGTGTGTGTCTGTGTGCCTGTGTGTACACGTGTGTGCCTGTGTCTGTGTGTGTGTATGTATGTATGTGTGTGTCTGTGTGTGTGTGTGTGTGGTGTAAATTGCCACACAGTTTTAAAAGTTTAAAATGCTTGTAATCCTGGGACCTAATGTAAAAATATTCGAGACTGCACATCACAGTGTAAGTGGCAGGTACCGCACTCTACTTTGGATATTGAGGTTGTTACTGGGAAGGAAGACTGACCCTAACAGGCTTGTCCAACTTTTGACAATGCAACCCAATATTAACTACCTACAAAGTTGATAACCAGAGTTGCAAAAAAAAAAAAACAACAACAACAAAAACCACACAGATCTCAGTATTTTCAGTGAGTTTATGATTTTGCTCTGGGACACATATATAGTTAGATGTACCTGCAAGGTGTCGGCTGAGGGTGATTTCTAAAAGAAAAGTTTTAGGTGAAAAGCTGAGTAATAAGCACAGGTGTGGCATCCTATCATTCTCAGGTCTGAGAACTCTCATATCTACTTGATGGGGACCTGCACATGTGGAAGACTAGGAGGTGTCACTCCCATGGTCTATCCAGCGTGAGAGAACACACTGCTGATGCATGTGTTGCTAATGTACAGGATCCATAGAACATATGTTTTATGCCCTAACTTCATTTCCAGGTTTACCTTCTGTTTTTACCACTTTAAAAAAAAATGAGTGAGATCTAATTACTTAATTTAAATTGTCTTTAGTTTTGTGTATATTTATAATCTGATTTAAATTCATTTTTAGAACAAGATAGGGCATAAAAACTTGCTTAAATAGTGGATTTTTAAAAAAATGGGTTGCATTTGTGTCTATTCCAGAAACTTGTATTTTTTAACTTAAAATTGTGTTGTCTGTCTAGGATGAGAATATGTAATCATTATGACTTTTATACAGAACCCATGTTAAAGCAAGCAGACCTGGAAGCCTGTACTTATAATGCCAGGCAGCAGGTCCCAGAGATTCCGTGGTGCTGGCCCAGCCTGCTTGATGAATTTCACATCAGTAAAGAGACTGTGTTGCTACCTGAGAATGGCACCCGAAGTTGTCATCTGGCCTACCCACCCCCACTGTTAACTCAATTAGAATAAACACAAGTAGACCCTCAAATCACCCGAGTGCCCAGTCCCGGTTTTAATAGTGGTTACTGGGAACTTACTATGTGCTGAGCATTTTCTGGACTCTCTGGTAAGAATTCCCAAGACAGAAGGCATAATCTTTTGTTTAATCTCCAGTTTCTCATGTATGCAGCAGGTACATGCCAATTACAGTATCCTGTGGTAGATCATGTATGTAACTCAACAGTAGCTCCAGTGTTGGTTTCTGGAGGACTTGGTTTCCTCAGATAAACCCCATCTGCTGAGCAGGAGTTTTTTAGGTAAGCATTTATTGGGGTAGTGGGGTTAGACAAAGGGAAGAGTGAACATTTTGTCTTGAGGATGGGGTATGTTTGGCTGGTATCTGAATTGTGGAAGATGCGAACAAAGCCTGAGAAGGCCAAGATGTAACCCATGAGTGGCTTTGTAAAACTATGACAGTGGGAGCCATTTCCTTGAAAGGGTGAAAGAGCAGGGAAGTAAAAAACCAAACAAAATAAATCAAAAAGCACCTTTCTTTTTGTTTAAGCTCTTATTTATTTTTTAAGGGAGGAAGGTTTTTTTTTTTTAAGCTCACAGTTCAAGGGTTATTTCTAATTTTTAGTTATGTGTGTGAGTGCATGTTTATGTGTGGCTATTTGCACATGAGTAAAGTTACTGGTGGAGGCCAGAAGAGGACATTGAAACCCCCCCCATGGGATGGATGGATATATATATATATATATATTTATATATATATATATATATATATATATATATATATATATATAGATGGCTGTGAGCCCTTAACTAGGGGGCACTAGGAACTGAACTCTGGTCCTTTGCAAGAGCAGTGCATGCTCTTAACTACTGGGACAACTTATTTTCTTTTGGAAGGAAAGGTTACAGGCTAGATAGGGCATGGGGTTTCTAAGTCGAGGATGACAGCAGAGCATTGTGTTCCAGTTTGAGGGGTGTGCTGGCAATGCTGTTCCTGTCATGTCGAGTCGTCTCCTCCTGCTCTGTGATCTACCCATCAGTGCCAAGCTGTTGGAAGGAGACTCAGGAGGTGTACATCACTGAGAGCGCTCTACAAGCATATCAGTTCATATATTTTGAAATATCTCCTCAGAGGAAATGAGTTTAGGTATTTTAAATGTCTGCTTGGTACTTAGGGGATAATCAGATAATTAGACTCCTGCATCTAGAGCTGAGGATAATGATGTTCAAGGTTGTAGATAATAGATTTAGGTATAGGGTTGCTAGATAAAGTACAGGAATCACTTAAATTATGATGTGGCTGTTAGTGACCAGTTGCATGTATAATTTAAGAGTGCCTGATGATGTTATAGTTTTTTGTGCATATGGCTATGATGTATGCATGATGAAGATAGCACCTAATTCCTTTCTTTGACTGTGTCCCCATGTTGAAATTTTCTCTGTCATTAAACAATGCATGCTTGCACATTTAAAAACTCATGACCAAACCCAAGAATGCCTAGATTTTTCTCTTAAGCCCTGCAGTGGTGGTGCACACCTTTAATTCCGGCACTTGGGAGGCAGAGGCACATGGCTCTCTGTGAGTTCAAAGCCAGCCGGGTCTATAGAGTGAGTTCTAAGACAGGCTCCAAAGCTACACAGAGAAACCA